GAAAGGCCTGGGGCACTTTGAGGGAAACAGGATTTGATATTGGAAAGCAAGGGTTAGGTTTATGGGAGTTCATTATTTTTCTGTCTTTGTTCAGGAGTTTTATATACTTGAAATTGTCTACAATAAGAATACTACACAGAGGCATGAAAAGGGAAGTGATCCTTCTAGCACTTAGAAGTAACCCTCAAGAGCCCTCAGAAATCTCACCCCACCTCAGACCCATATGGTAGTCCATGTTCCTTACAAATTTTCATTCCAGTTGAAAACACAATCAACGAGTAGTACAGGCCAGTTTTTGTTAAGAGTTGGACCAGCCCAAATGAGTTGTGTGAGCAGGGTGGTAGACTACATTAAACATTCCCTTACTGCTCACGTGGTGTTGCTAACAAGCATAAACAGCACTTTCTTTGCAGTTGGTTCCTTTTATTTTCTGGTCAGATCAGTGGCTCCCAGAAGTCTCTGGCTTTACCTTTTATGCAGACAGAACGGGCAGGGGCGACAGAGCCAATCCCTGGCTGAAGGAGCACTGAAAGGCTGTTTGTTTGAAGTTGCTAAAGAAACATATGGACCAACTGGTTGTCTTAGCACTTCTTTAACAAATGGTGGTGGGGCTTCCCCTGAGCAGGGAGGGGCTGATCCCAGCGTGATGTCAGAGCAAGGTCTCTGAGAACAGACTTGGGAGTAAGTCAGCTGACCCCAGGAGGAGGAAGAGTAAGCCCTTTCCAGTTGTTCTCCAGAATAATGGTGGGATCGAGGGTAGGACGTGGCTGAGGGTCCAGCAGACGAGACTACTTCTTTAGGTATTTCTTTCCTTTGCAAAGAGAAATAGAAGCTGTGTGTTTTGTTTCAAACATTGATGTTCCTAAAGTTATGTAGATGACTATACATGTGTAAAGGAATAAAATGGTTCGCTCTTATCCGAAGCCAAAGCTCATAACCTTAGTAATGGCAGGAAAATCATCACTTTTAAAAGTAATTCTCCTTGGAGATGGTGGAGTTGGGAAGAGTTCTCTTATGAACAGATATGTAACTAATAAGTTTGATGCCCAGCTCTTCCATACAATAGGTGTGGAATTTTTAAATAAAGATTTGGAGGTGGATGGACATTTTGTCACCATGCAGATTTGGGACACGGCTGGTCAAGAGCGGTTCCGAAGCCTGAGGACGCCCTTCTACAGAGGCTCTGACTGTTGCCTGCTCACTTTTAGTGTTGACGACTCACAGAGTTTCCAGAACTTGAGTAACTGGAAGAAAGAATTCATATATTATGCAGATGTGAAAGAGCCTGAAAGCTTTCCTTTTGTGATTTTGGGCAACAAGGTCGACATAAGCGAAAGGCAGGTGTCCACAGAAGAAGCTCAAGCTTGGTGCAGGGACAACGGTGACTATCCTTACTTTGAGACAAGTGCGAAAGATGCCACCAATGTTGCAGCGGCCTTTGAAGAAGCAGTTCGAAAAGTTCTTGCCACTGAGGATAGGTCCGATCACTTGATTCAGACAGACACTGTGAATCTTCATCGCAAGCCCAAGCCTAGCTCATCCTGCTGTTGATCCCTAAGCAGATGGTGGGTGCAGTTTGCCCAACTCACACCTACACACATGGTGAGCATGAGGGTGGAGAAGACCTGTAGGGTTTGCAGCACTGTGTCGTGTACTAATAAAATTAATGTACGTCACTGCTTCATTAGTTGGGAGAAGGGACACATCCACTCTGGAGCAATCCATTTACCCAGTAATGGCACCTTGCCTTTCTAAATTGTAACAGTTGTCTAACAAATGTCTCTTTAAATATGTACGTTAGAGCTAATGAAATGACCAAGACTTTAATTAGAATGGAAACAAAAACATTACTGTTGTAGAAGATATACTTGTTTTGACTCCCCACCCCCCGGGAAAAGGGAGAAC